AAATTTAAAAATTAACATCACCTTTTCTTTCTGCTCAGCCTCCTTGAGTGTCTTCAGCTCGGCCCTCATCTGCATCTTCTCAGCCTGGCGCTTCTTCCTCTCGTGTGCCTCATGTGCCTTTGCCACTGCCTCCATTCGCCTCTTCTCCTTCAGCATTGCCTCCGTCTCCGCACTCTCCTTCTCCTCTGCCTTCTTGGCCACCTCAATCTCCTCCCTCGACCTCTCAGCCTCTTCCTGTGTGATCTCCTCACTTGAAACATCACCTGATGAACCATTCTCGCGCACGGACAAAATGGGACCATTGGCCGTCCCTCTAGGAGGAAAAGTTTCGCCCACCTCTTTCTTGACGCTTTTAATGCTTGTCCTCTCCTGCTTTGGCTTCAGAGCTGGGAATTGTGATGCCCGGTCTGCCTCAGTGGGTGTTCGGACAGTAACTCTATTATTATAGGCTCTCTCATCAGTGTAACTGGGTAGGACAGGCAGGTCCTCATCTGGGCCGAGCGAGCGGCCGTCTAGAGTGCCAAATCTCCTCAAAGTACTTCTCATGTTGAACTTGGCGTACTCCTGGCGGAACTCGTCGTTTGCATTCCAGAGTTCCATGAAATCTTCAACCTGTGCGCGCATAAAAAAATAACAAGTTGAGATCATATTTGCTATTGTTATAAATTATAATAGTATCAATAACAAAGAAATCGGGATTTGGACTTACGTTATTCGTGCACAAGCGGTACACTGCCTCTGTGTCCCTGCTGAATGCGTATTTACTGGCAATGGCTGCGTCATTCCTGTACTTGGAAAAATGTTGGCCCTGCATTTACAGTAATTTGTTTCACTTTGTCACTTTAACGAAAATTCTTGATGCATTTTCTTGATATATGTAATTTGCAATATCGTAGTCGTTTTAAGGATTTTAAATGCTAGCATGGGAGCGGTGCCGTCAAATAAATTAAAACAATATATATACAAGCGAGAAAATATCCCAACTGAATCAATGATCATCTTCATGTATAGCCGGAATTATAAGTACCCTCGGACTAAATGTATAGCAGGAATTGTACAATGGTTCCTTTTGTACTCGTATACATGCCTATACCGGATGTGGTTCGCTCCAGTAAAATATTTAAGTGGACCGCACCCAATGTGAGTGCATGGAAAACGAATTACGCAAAATGTCTTAATCTCTTGAGAACATGGTCAAAGTAATAACCAAAGTGAACATGAAGCTGCATTGTTTCACGTTCAAAGACAGTTTGAACCAAAACAAGCTGGGCTTAAGCGCAGTAGTTAACATGTACTGAACAAGACATTCTGCATTTCAAGATACGATACTATAAAAAAGTTACATGAATGTAATTAGCCCAGATTCTGGTGAAAATTTTAGTTAAATGGATTATCTTCAATATATTCTTCCAGGTTCTACCAGCACCTTAAACAGCAGTTTTTGTGGGCCACAACTGCAGCTAGGAAACAGAAAAATGCCAACCTTAACGTTAACAAATCAAGGGCTGTTATAGTCAGGATCAAAGCCCTCTGGTTATGTGCCATTCCTGGTTTATTAATCATCAGACCCAGCTAAAAAATGCATTACTCTGTCAGTATGTGGGTGTGTGTATAAGTGTGATTGTGTGTGTGTGTGTGTATACATGATTATAGTAATGGATCGAAACTTCGCTAATCTAATTCTACGAACTTCACAGGATGCCAAATCTCCCAAAACAAAGAGCACAGTCAGTGTGCTAATAATGAAATAAAATGTGAAGCCTGACTAAATTATGGAATCTGTTATTCAGTGGTCCAATTAACCAGAGATGTGCATTTGAAACATGGCCGCTTAAGAAAACCCAATAAGGAAATTAATTGACGAAATCCAAATTTCCCATGTTCACCATTTTTATACTTACATATTTCCTCTCTGTTGTTATACTTCAACTACGATGCTGCATTTCGATATATGTACACATATTGATTACATTGATATGTAATTGCATATTGTATATCTGTTTACTGATACAAATTAGTACATCTATTTTTATTGTCACATATCACAATCTTGTAGTTCTATATTTTATTTAATAGTCTTAATTTAAATGTTATATTTTTCCTATACTAACTTTATCTTCGGTAACATAATGTTACAACAAATATATTTTCAATTTCTTCACTGAGCCACAGAACCATCATATGAGTAAACCAACTCTCAACTAGCCTTTCTATGGTCAGTTAACCAGTCAAACGATGACGAGCTGACGAGCTCATTGCTTCAAGATTACTTTGGACTCTAATAGACCATTCTTCTGGTTTTAACCATCTTCTATTCTTACTCCTTAAAGTAATATGAGTTTTCATTACTATTGATCAGTTTAATAACTAAGATATGCTGTCTGTATACAATCAATAAAATATGTCAAAACTTCTCAGTCATGAAATTAGAATGCACAAGCACAGTGCCCAATTCTCATAATAATTTAAGTAAACAGAGGTACTTTCTGGAGACCCTGACCTTGTTCGACAGTTCCTTTCTCAAATTCTGCCACTGAAAATATGCTGCCTGGCGAACCTCGTCAGCCACCCTAAACTGAGCTTGAAGCTCCTTAACTGTTCTGTTTTCATCATCATATTTCTTCTCTGCTTCCAGGGCAGCTGTTTCGGCTTTCAAGACTTTATCTTTCAAGACATCTAGCTCCTTCCTATGAATCTGCATGTCACCAAAAAAAAAAACAATAATAATAGTAATAATAATAATAAAAGAAAGAAGGAAAGAAAACAAAGAAATTACAATTCCAAGTCTAACAGCCTTTTTACTCAACTAAAACTTCCAGCCTAATACAACCATGTTTATGGAACTTAATTTTGCTTGTAAAAAGTGATGTATGTAAACCTTTAGACGTTCTTCAACCTCCTCCCTTTGTTCGAGAGCCTGCTTAATTTCATCTTGGCTACCCATGTTAGAGGACAACTGTTCGCGAAGTTGCTTCAGCTGCTTGATTTCACGAATTAGCTGCTTTTCTTCTTTCAATTGAAGAGTCTCATGTTGTATTATCCGTTCCATATTGTATATCTGCAAAGAGTACAACTTTAATCATATAAGCAAACAGATTATTTATTTTACTGCAAAAATGGTATTCCAGAAATCAAGACTGCATGATTTTTATGTGCAATTATTCTAGCAAACAGCAAGCAGAAGAATTGTTTACAGTCACCTGACTATCAATATCCTCAATAGATAATGCATTCTTGGCTTTGTTGATCACGGCCTGTAGAGAATCTATTTCCATACGTTTCGACCTCACAAGCTTTCGTGCATTTCGACCCTCACTCTTGGCATATTCATAATCAATGCCATGAATCTGACTATTGGCCTATCAAGTGGAGAAACCCAATGGCATGAAAAAAAAATTATTTTCTAAATAAATAAAATACACACATATATATAGCTAATTTTCGTACTCTTTTCTCTCGAATCTGGACTTGAATGGCATCCCTGACTTTTGTTTTCTCGTCGATATTCAGCTTTGCCAGCCTGATTTGTTCTTTCAGACTTTCATCCTCAAATCTTGGAACCCTAACCAAAAAGTTGAACGGCTTTATCTTTGTCTTAACACTAAATGCTTCATCCCTGTGGGTCATATCTGAAATGGAACTAAATGGTGTGTTGCTGTCTCGTGAATCTTCAGTGTCATCATTGTCAGTCGACACCAAGTTCATATTATTGCTTCCTGAAGCACAATCATTTTGATAAGCAACATCTTCAGAAACACCATCATTTTGATCAGCAACATATTCAGCATTTCCTGTCTCCAACTCGATGTTAGTTGCACATTGTTTGTCAACATCAGAGCTATGGGAAATGTCTGTCCTACATCCAGAAGTTACATCACCAGTAATATCTTCACTGCTTAAGGCAGAAACATTACCAACACAAACTTCAGGTTCCATTGTCACGTGTGAACTCGGCGACGCTACTTCTTGTTCAATTTCAACAACTTCGCTACACAATTTCACCTTCATCTCAGCCTTCGTGTTTGTATTTTGTGAATCACACTCAAGAACATTCTCAGACACCTTAGTTTCTTCCTTGCTATTCACTGGATTCGTCTCCAAGTTCAAATCAGAGGAAGCTGGTAAAGGAACTTCATGTTCTGAATTTTGGGCAACTTCTTCGGATAACTTCACCTCATCTTCAGCATCTTTGGCCTTCATGTTCACATCTTGCACTTCATACCCCACAATTGGACACAACTCCAAATCCAAATCCAGGGAAGTTGAGAGGGGAACTTCACATTTTGGAGTTTCCACCATTCCACAATCGACATCTTCAACCACTTCCGTCTTTTCCTTGGTATTAACTAAGTTAGACCCCAAATCACTCAAAGTTGAGGGGTTAACTTGACATTCCCCATTTTCCTTCACTTTTGAGAACTTAATCTCGTTTTCAGCCTTCACGCTTTCATCTCGGCATTCACACTCAACAACATCCACAGAAACATCTTCTTCTTCCTTGGCACTCAATGTATTCGACCCAATCTGCGAATCAAAGGAAACCGATAACGGAACTTCATGTTCTGAATTTTGGGCAACTTCTTCTGATAACTGTAACTCATTTTCAGACTTCAAGCTCACATCTTGCACTTCACACTCCACAACTGGACTCAACTCCAAATCCAAATCTAAGGAAGCTGACGGGGGAACTTCACAATTTCCAGTTTCCTGCATTTCACGCTCAACATCCTCAGCCACTTGTACATTTTCCCTGGTATTATTCAAATTAGACCCCAAATCAAACGAAGTTGGAGGGGTAATTTCGTGTTCCCCATTTTCCAGCACTTGTGATGAATTTATCTTGTTCTCGGTCTTCACGCTCTCATCTCGCAATTCAAGCTCATCAACATCCACAGCCAGGCCTGTTTCTCCCTTGGCACTCATTGGATTCAACCCAGAGTCCAAACCCAAGGAAACCGATAAGGGAACTTCATGTTCTGAAGCTTCCACGGCCACATCACCTGATAACTTTATTTCATCATCGTGCAATTTACACTCGACCAAGTCAGTCTCTTCTTCTTTAATATTTACCGGACTCGACCCCAAGTCCGCATCCAAGGAAGTTGAGGAGTGAATTTCCCCATTTTCCAACAACTGTTTTGATAATATTACCTGCTCCTTCTCCGCACTTGTCCCCTGCAATGTAGGATGAACAACATCCTCAACCACATTTATTTCATCAAAATTCATGGAAGTCGACACGGGGACTTTGAGTTCAACAGCTTCTGCTTTGTCCTCGGCCAATTCATGCTCGGACACGTCTGTCGTGGTCCTATCAAAATCCACGTGTAACGAAGCTTCATTCTCTGCCACTGGACTCGTTAGCTTCACCCCGTCCTCGGTGGGACCCGCCCTCAATTCAGGCTCAGCCACCACCACATCTTGCAATACCCGACACACTCCCGATCCCGATCCCGATCCCGATCCCACAATTTGAGATTCCAGATTCGGCACCTCAGCTTCGATTGTTTGAGCAAGAGAATAACCAATATCATAATCATCATCATTCACATTTACCTCCTCCTTGGCAGGGGCAGGGGGGTCTCTAGAATCAGGATCTGCCGCTTCAACATCCTTATTTTTGTTGAGAGTATCATCATCATCATCATCATCTTCGGGAAGGCTGTCAGTCCCCGACACAAATACATAAGAAGTGTCGAGATCGTTGTGGGGGCTGCTCTGTGCCGGATCCTGGCAAGGACCCGCTTCCGGCCCGCATTTAGCATCACTCTCCTTGGAGACCTCTGTGTCGGCCATTACTACCCCAATGGCAGATCAAAAATTACCTGCTACTACACGTTAATTACCATTTGCAATTGGAAATTAGCGGAGAAAAATAAAACCTAATTTGCCACCACAATTTTCCATATCAATCAAGTTATTATTATTATTATTAAAGAATTTAAGAATGTTTTATTTATACATATGCTATCACCATCACCATGAATATATGATGACCGATAGGCGACCAAAGTAAAAAGGAGAAAACAGTCCATAGACTAATCGAGTTTGAAAGATTTGGTTTTTAGTGCCTTTTTCTACAATTTTTATTTTCATACCAAAGTGCATCGCCACACGCAAACTCATATTTTAGGGTGGGATTTGGTTGACCAATTTCCAGATTTTGCTTGGACTTTTTTAGAATCAATTCCCTATTTAACCAAAAAAAAAAGGTACCCATAATAAAACATATTAATACAAATCCTATCCATTCAATTGCACAAAATCCATCCTTATTTTTATTTTTTATTAAAAAGGGAAACAAAGCATTGTGTTTACTTGAGTGTAGAGCTGAAAACGAACCGAACGTTCTATTTCCGTAATTCCGTACGAGACTATGCTGTCGGAGAAGTCGTCCGCGAACAAAATCTCGTTCGTGTTCGACAAAAGCTCGTTTGTTTATTAATCGAGCCGAGTACGAACAGAAAATTAGGCTCGTTTAACAATCGAACGAACACAAGCTCGTTCGCAAACGATCGATTATGTTCGCGAACAATAATAAATATAGTTTTATTTCATTTTTTTATATATTTACTTAATATTTTTAATAAAATATCTAATGTTTAATAAAATTTTATTTTTGTATATATGTACATAATATTTTTAATAAAAATTAAAAAAAAAATATTTTTATTTTATTCTTTTAGTTTTGAGTTCGAACGAGTACGGACGAACAAATTTCAAGTTAATCAAACATATTTAAAAGGTTTATGTATATAAATTATTCGAACTCGAACTTTGACGAACAATTGAACGAAAGAACTTGAGAATGATTTTTTGCTCCAAAAATAAACGAACGAACCCAAATAATATTCAAACGTAAACGAACACAAGCTCGAACATCACAAAACTCAGGTTCGGGTTGTTTACAACAAAATACTTGAGTGTTTTGAAATTTAGATAAGCATGAGTAAGGATGACGTCAAGTATAGTGTGAAAATTTTTATGTTTTGATGGGTCCTACATTTATCTTTTCGGCAAACGTTTGTTGTGTGTGTGTGTGTGTGTGTTTGTGTTTTTGTGTGTGGCAAACTTTTGTTTTGTTCGTCGGTGTTTAGTTTGGAAAAGCAAAGGGGAAAAAGACCCAACGTCGCGTCTCTACTTTCAACGCTCATCAAACATATAATTATTATTATTAGTATATCGGACACCCATTTACAGCTGTTTTCTATCTCTTTTTTTTTTTTATTCATAATCATAACTTATATTTTACACCAAACATTAATTAATTTTAATATTTACGTTATGATATTAGCCCGTGTGAGCAGAAAATAATAATATTTTTTTTTTTTTTTGACTCAACTATGGATAATTTTTATTATCAGGCAAGATGTTAAAAATCACAAATTCTTGTGAATTAGACGGGATAACCCATCATGCGTTTATACTATAATTTATATACATACTTATGTCATAAAATATCATGATTTATTTTTTAGAGTATCACATTTCATTTTAAAAATGTACATATTTAAAAAAATATATATATATAGTTGTGTAGCTTTTTAATATTAGTGTTACTTAGTATAAATAAGGATGGGACGAATATTCAACACACCTTTCCTATGGATTTTCACTTGACTTTTTCTCATCTCATGAAAAAAAAAAGTAGTAAATTTGGAGAAGGATAGGAAAGTAATTTGTGAGTTTGATGTATTCGTGTGGGATTTTTAAAGATTTTTCAAGACTCCAAAAATTTTGGGTATTTAATTCAAACGTTTTAAAACTTTTTGAAACTTTTAAGAGACTCGAGATATTCATTTGAGATTTTAAAGTCGTACATAAAAACCATGAGGATTTGAGACCAAAATTTGTTATGACTTTTTAAGATTTACAGGGACTCAAAAGAAGAAAAAAAAAATTATATACAAAATCCACTTCACATCTCACTTTCAGACCTAAAATTTCATGTCCTCTTAAATTCCAAAATTTCAAAAAATTTCAAAGTGTGAATCCAAATATTAAACCATTACACCTCCTTAGTCAAAGAGCTAAAAATGAGAGATCTATAATTAAATTTACGAGTAAATTGAGTTTTATATTAAATTGGTTGCATACCAACTTATAATATAGTATGTGAGCTAAAAATAAGAGATCTATAATTAAATTTACGAGTAAATTGAGTTTTATATTAAATTGGTTGCATACCAACTTATAATATAGTATGTTGACATGGACTTATACATTGATTTAAGATTATAATTATTAGACTTTCAAAATGGTTAAGGAACTATTAGCCCCGCTCAACTGCCCACGGTAGGCAGTGCCCACCACTTTGTTTTATATGAAAAATGTATTTTGAGAATACGTTTTTCAATTAAATTATTTGAATACGATTTTCATATAAAACAAAGTGGTGGGCACTGCCCACCGTGGACAGGGGATCAAAATTTAAGGAACTATATTAGTATATTGTAGTTGGGACGCGTTTTTAGGATGAAATGGGCTGGGCCCTACGTCACGGATCTGGACACATAGGTCAGCTTTTAAACAGAAAGGCCTAAAATCCAAGACCATGAGGAGGCCCACAAGATTTATCATTAATCAACCAACGAAATTTTCACACTTGTGAAAACAGTCCCCGCCATAGCCATAGCCATAGCCAAGTTCGGAGAAAAAAGAAGAAGAAGATAGATGTACATATACTGCTACTATAAAATTAAATTAAGCAAAATTATCACCGGTCGTGGCATTTACGAAGAAAAGTAAGTGTGGTGAAATATAATAAATAAATAAATAAAATACAGAAGTGAAAAATTTGAAGAAAAGGGGCTCACCGGAAAATGTGGAAATGCAGGATCCGATCCGGGTGGGGATAAGGGGGTTTCTTCAATGAGGACTGAATTCCCATGAATTGCTGATCAATGGATGTTAATTGACTATGCCCATTCTCTATAGAGAGAGAGAGAGAGAGAGATTTACAGAGAGATGATTGATGGGAGTGTGTGTGTGTGTGTGTGTGGGGTGGATGGTGTGAATGTGCTGCTGCAAATGAGATGGATGGTTGTAGAATGAGGGTGTCTCAAAACAAGATCTATGACCAAAATACATATATATAAATAATTGCGTATTTATATCTGTATTTTATATTGTGAGAGATAGAGATAGAGAGAGGGCTGGCCTTGCTTATGTTTGGTACAAAGGACAATGACGGGCAGGAAAAATATATTTCTTTTTCTTTCCTTCTTCTTATTATTATTTTTTTTTTTTTTATCATTTCTTTATCTATCTAATTTATTATTTGATAAGTTAAGGTATAATCATAAGTGGGTTAATCGAAAATACTCAGAAGTATTACGAGGTAGACCGAATGGGTGAATGATCTATCGTTGGACGACCTATTGGACCCTTGGACAATTTGGAATATCTCGGACCACATAAATAGCTCAACATCGAGCTAAGAATTAGACGCCTTAAGTAATCATCACAACCTAATGAGCATTAATCATTAAGAAATAGGGGATGAGAAGGAGCCTTATGAAGATACGAATGAATCTAATTGTGGCTAAGACATGATTAAGGTGAAGATAAGCACTAAGCAGATAAGATCAAACTCGGACAGTCAGGCAGACTGACCGCGGGCAATTGATCAGGCTATTTCAGGTAGTATTCCCTATAAAAAGGGTTGAGGTACACCCAAACCATTCTCTACTTTGTACATTCATTATCATATATCACATCCTTCTCATGTACTTACTTGAGCGTCTGAGTGTTAGCGTTTGGGCCCTTTTTTGCACGTCACTTCGAACAGCTCGGGCAGATCAAAGTTTAGATCCAGCTGGTTTAACCTTGACTCAGGGCTCCACACATCATTTGGCAGTGTCTGTGGGGAGCTTTTGAAGGAACTAAGAGCTCCCGCACTAGATTTCGATCACCTGAGTTTGCAAACAGAGAAGCAGTGCAGGGGAACTTGTCAAAAAATTTCAGAGGAATGTGGATAGATAGACGACCTCTGGTGGCTCCCAGTCCCAAACATGTGATTTTTATTGTTGGTTTCGGCGTAGTTGAGTAGTCACGCACCATCAGGTGCGCGTCAAGAGGATGGGATTCAGGTCACTCCCTTGGGGGTAAAGATTTAGGTTTTTCCTCGGAAGAAACTAGCCAGTTTCCACAACTAACTCCCATCGGAGAGGAACATGAATGTAGGGAAGAAGCTTGAGCGGGGGAAGGAAAATGGAGGGGTCATAGTGGCATGAAAATGAGACCTATTATCAGGCATAGCGACCTCGAGCTGACGATTAGGTCATCAGCTTCACTTAAGTCGAGCTACATAAAATGATTGAGGAGACGACAACGGCTAGAGTCGAGCAGACGTAGCACATGCATTCGACTGAATAACATAACACGTGCAATAAGGGAGATGACGAGGAATCGTCAATTAAAATCACTATGCACATGCAGGAGATGAAAGAAAACACGTCGGAGAAAATATCGGCTCATTTTCATGACCTACCGACAAAGGTCGAAGGAAGAAGATGGGGTAGCGCTAGAGGTCATCCTTTCTCGTAGGAGACCCAGTATGCCAAACTATCCCCGAGATTTAGGGATCTCAACTTGATGTGTGATGGGTACACTGACTTGTCAAGGAACCTATGGAGTTTTGAGAACATGGCAATATTGCACAGGTACAAAGATCCAGTCTGGTGTAGGGCTTTCTTGGCCACGTTGCGAGGGTCGCCGTAGGATTGGTTCCATGAGATGTTAGTCGGAGCTATACATGATGTAGATATGTTTAGCTCGAGTTTCATTAACCAATT